GGGAAGGGCAGGCCGCTCCCGCCTTAGGGGGCGGTGGGGGAAGCGAGAAGCGAGTCCGGAGGCCATTTAAACCGTGGGTAGCCCCCTCCCAGCGGAAAGTAGCCCGCGATAGCCTCTCCTGCTGCCTTTCCCGGGGTGGGTTTGGGCGGGCTTTGGAGCTGGAGACGTGGCTGACAGGAAGGCCATCATCGGTCGGGACTTGCCTCCCCCGGGGCTCTCTCCCTCACTGGGAGTGCAGCCCCCGTGGCTCTGATCTCTGCGAGGGCGCCGGCCGGGGCTGATGGGAGGTGTGCCCCAGGGCAGCTGGATGGAGGAGGCTGTCAGTCGGGGCTTGCAGCAGGATCACCACCACCGCCTGGGGCATTTATGACCTTGAAGGCTGTCTAGCAAAAGAACCCCCTGTTGCCATTCATCGTTTATGCATCGCTCATAATCCATTTTTTTCTAACTTATTGTTAAGGATTTTACTCTTGCTTAGACTCAGGGCAGCTCTGCATTGCAGGCTTGTTCTCTTGCAGTTTGCCCTGAAAGATCAGTCTGCAGTGGTTAGAATTTGCTCCTTTTGTCTCGGAATCTGATGTTGGGGAACAAAAAGTATTGGCTTAAATCTTTACTGAAGAGAATTCTAAGCCTGTTCTGTATTCAGTGCAGCCTTCTGTGCAACCTTAACTAATATTTGCAGCTGTGACCATGCTGCTACAATTTAGTCAGTTCTCGCAGGGCTTTAATAAATAAATAAATTTACTGCATTCCTTCAGGTGTGTCATGACTTTAAAGTCTGTGCATCTGTCCTTGTTTTGTCCAGTCACTATTGTCTAGTACAATACATAGTATATTGGGTTGATAGTTAGTCTCTAACAACACATTACTTCTGAAATTGTTGAAGCAGCAAATATTTGGAATACATTTTTAATGCAAGCTCCTGTGGGGTAGCACTGCAAAAACTGCACAGGCACACTTTAGATTTTAAACATAAGCACCGTTAAGATTCCTGTTTGGACATTAATGACATTTTTCTGCAGATTAATGCAGAGAATGAGGGTTATGAATAAGCTTGTGCAGGATGAGGAATGTGAGTGAGCAGCATTTTGAAATCATTCATCTTAAGGCTTAGGTCCTAAGGTTTTGCAGAAACAGGAGATGCTATTAAATGGGTTTTATATTATTTCTTACAACTTTCACCTCTTCAGACCTTCTGATCTGATTCCTAGAGAGGGCTTTGGAGAGAAACCCTAGCTATCTGCCACTCTTTAAAACCACCTCATTTCTTCCTGGGATCTGTGGCAGTTGCAATCAGATGATCCCCATAAAAGACACAGCCGCTTTAAAGAGTTGGCGAGTGGTGTTTGTGTGTGTGCTAGGGAGCTCTCTTTTCCAATTATTTTTGTAGTAGTATACAGGTCTATTTAATGTATTCCTGGTTAATAATACCTAAATAAACAGCTTTGTGGGAAGATGGAGCAAGTAATGCTTGCTATGCAATTTTCTATTACAAATAATCTGTTTTGCAGTAAGGAGTTATGGTCAAGCAATGCTAAGCTAAAGTCTTGTAACTCAAAATCCTGCAGGAAAAATAAGATTTCTTAAGTTTCAGACAGGAGACCCGATGTTTTTCTTTGTCTTAGGTGTCACGGAATGCTTTGGGTACATCATTTGTAGCAACAAGGAACCTCCATGCCTCCAGAACAACTCTGCAGAAAACTGGTGAGACAAAGTCTGCAGCTTTGATAATTAAATACTCTTGGCTGTTATCTCTAAATTAATTATGGTGTTCCTCTTACAGCTTTTTAGTTATTTGATGTTTTGCTTTTATATCCTAGCCATGTTGCAGAGTCTAGCTGCTACTTTGATTCATATCCCAGCAGGAATGAAGCGAAACTATTTTGAGATGACCACAATAAAGCAGAATTTGCTATGCTGTGGTCACTACCTAGTTGTTCACCATCCCATAGTTTGCTAGAATTTAGCTAAGCTTGCTTTTTTTGAATTTTTTCTT